TATAAGTTCCCGTCCTCAGTGTACGTGTTTCGCTCTCTCGCACACACGGCTTGTCTCTGTGTGTCCCTGTATCTCCATGTGTGTATGTCTCTGTGTGTGGTGTCCCTCTGTGTGTTCCCTCTCTGTGTGATTCTCACCAGATCACGGCTGCTTGTGTTGCAGTCGAAACGTCGTGATTTGTTTTATTTCTATTTTATTTCTACCTACGTGACTTTTCCAAAAGAACCAAAGAGTATCATTGGGAATTTAGGCTAATTCTTCTTTAAATTAATGTTTTGCATGTTAGTGAAAACCACGTAAGTATGGATGAAAAGAGAGGATCATGAAACCACTTGCTATACTGCCACCTGGCCACCCTAAAGCCTGATTGGTTTTAGTAAGATGGTGTACAACAGTCTGTGTGTGATCCACCAACTCTGCCACCAGAGTATTGGATAAGAGGTACGTTGTATGGAGATATGGGAATGTGGAATTTCCACCACTGCTTCAGTTTCTCAGTGGAGATGAGAACAACCTCCTTGCGGGTCCTGATTATTGAGGCGTATTGACCGTTGTTTCTTTAGTCCCACAATGTGTTTAGAGTCAATGGAAGTCCATGTGAATGAATGGAGTTGTCCTCCATCACAAACCCTACTCAGGGTGGAGTCACGGGTCACTGAGTCCGGCCCAGACGTGGTACCTGCACGTCCCTGCGAGCGGCCTCCATCTGCCTCACGGACTCCTCCGCCTTCTTCCTCTTCTCCTCCACCGCCCGCGTCTCCTCTCCCACTTGTTTCTGTGACAGACGTCACCAGGGGAGACTCCACTCACTCTCTGAGCATCCCCTCCCAACCCGCTCCACGTGAACCCCTCCACATTGACGGCGGCAGTAGCCCCAGTGCAGCGATGGAGGCTGGGGGAGCAAGCGCTGCAGGGAACTGATTTCACGAGGAGCTCAGACGTGTGGAGGGCTTTCTAAATTGTGGGTGGAGCTACCTAAGCAGTGGGCAGAGCTACCTAAATAGTGGGTGGGATTACCTGAGTCGTGGGTGGGTATACCTGAGCAGTGGGCGGAGCTACCTAAGTAGTAGGTGTGGCTACCTGAGTAGTGAGTGGAGCTACCTAGGCAGTGGGTGGGGCTACCTAAGTAGTGGGTGGAGCTACCTGCGAAGTGGGTGGGGCTACCTGAGCAGTGGGCAGGGCTACCTGAGCAGTGGGCAGGGCTACTGGAGTAGTGGGTGGGGCTACCTGAGTAATGAGCGGGGCTATCCGAGTCGTGGGCGAGGCTATCTGAGGAGTGGGTGGACAAGGCACCAGAACGGTGAGATGTCATCTGCCTTACCTGCGAAACAGGAGGTCGTGGGTTCGATCCCAACCCTGATGCCTGTGTAGTGTAGCAGAACGACACTACTGTATTGGCTCGGTATGGGGGCTGTAGGCAGGTGTCACGGGAGTCGTGTCGGGCTGTGACACTCTGCGTGAACCCAACAGGACACGTGACCAGATAAAGGGGGGCCAGGGGCCCAGGGGAGTCACGTGATTGGGCTTCGGGCCTTCCCGAAGGATCGGGAAGGGGGGCATGGCCTGGGGCGGAGCCGGCCATGCTGGAGTGGTTATAAGCGGGGAGTGGACGGAGAGCTGTGCTGTTCTGCTTTGCTGCTGGGTCATCTCTGGGATGAAGCTCTCCGGTCTCGGCTAGTGGACCAGGCAGCATGTTGGGCTGTCCTGGTCCAGTAATGTAGTATCTCCGTGTGTTAGTTAAGGTAGGAAAGGTGGCTATTTTTGTATATGTTGGTTGTGAAAATTTTGATGAAAATAATAAAAAAATAAATTAAATTTGGAATTAGCGTAATTATCCAAAATTATGTTAATTGATGCAATTATGCGCATAAAGCATGCTAATTTATGCGAGTGCATATGGTTATGATAATGGGAGCCGTTATGAAAATTAGGCCCCGCCTCGCTGACAAGGGTCGGATTATCAATTGGGAACATACAATTAATCGTATGAAGTTATGCCAGTGTGATGCAAGTATGCCAGCGTAAGCTCGGCTTCAATTTCCTAGGTTCGTACTAACACTCGGTAATACAATTAGTTGAGATTTAACATTTACTGAGTATGTGTTAGTGTGTTTATGTCAGGTCTCCAAATTCAAATCTCAACGCAGAATACAGTTCTTATAAATACGATGCTTATGCTTGAACTCAGGAAAGAAACACCCAGACACTTTTGTGCTAAGCAATTTTAATTTCTAAACCAAACCTTAACTCTATGATATGAATTATTATACTTGAAATTGTCAACACAGTACTACAGGCGATGTTCATTTCATTGATCCATCTCTTAAACCCTTAATAATCACGTTGGTAATTGGGTAACAGAACAATTGATTACTTCCTCTGGGTACCACGAGCATATGGAAAATATGAATAAAAAGTCCTTAAAAATTCATATGACGATATTCATGCAAAAAAGGCAGTCAAAACAATGATTATTCCTCAAAGGCAAAAGTATACGTCAATGGATTCATCGGTAAGATTATGCCATTAAAAAGAAAAAAAACGAACGACTGAGATACTTAATAATGACCTTATCCACATAACTCAATGGGTAGCAATGTTCTTCACGATCAGTTGATATTTTAATGCCCTTTATAATTAGTTTTAATATTGTGTGGGTGCGGTGAATTGTCTCTTTGGTAAATTCTTGTATGAGCAGAGGACGTAAGCGTCATGGGTTTGTGAAAGTGGGGGAGGGGTATATGAACAACGGCTGGTTCCCTCTATTGCTCGGCGTTGGACATTGACTGATGGTTCTCTCCACCGCTGGATGATGAGCTGCGCCGCATGCACTCTCTCCGTGGAGATGCGCATGATCACGCTCGCCGCTGGTTCGCTGGCAGCAGCAGTCTCCTCCTTCCACTGCTGTAGTAGCTGCGCCACACGCGCTCTCTTTGTGGAGATGATCGAACGCGCTCTTCGCTGGTTCGCTGACTCTTTTGCTGGATGAGCCAAGTCGGCACAATGCTTGGTGGTGGTTGCGCTGTAGCTGGCACTCGATGTAGAATAAAAGTCTTTTAGCGATACTTCGTCTTTCAGCTCTGAACTCACACTCGGTGGCACATCGCTACTCTGCCAGCCTCGCCATCCTCGGTTGATCGCGGGGCCCCTTGGAGTCTGCCGCTCGCCGCCCTCTTCTGGCGCTTGCCGAGCTGTTGTCCTGTTGAACTGTCGACAGCGCTATTGTGCGTGTCGTGCTGCTGTTTTATCCGAAAAATCTCCCGCCTCTGCGTGTCTCTTGCGAGAGGAAAAAAAAAACCAGATGCTCACTCTGCGTTGTGGGGGGGGGGGGGGTGTAGTCTGTGTGTGCATCATTAAGTCCAGCGCCTCCGTGTCTACAGATGGCCCCCGCGATAATACATTTCCCTCGCTCTGGTGTTAAAATCCTGCTCTCCTGCGCTGCGGGAAGACAAACTCGGCCAGGAGGCTCCTTCCTATGGAACACAGTCTATCTTGGCTGTGTAAGCCCGTCCCGTTCCGCCTCATTCCTTCTCGATAACCTTTGATGTAACACTGCATTTTCTGTCGCCAAGATTGGTGATTTAACAGTTCATCATTAGATGTTACCTCCGATATTCCAAGGGTTTTATGCTTTTGCTCACTGTCCGCATACATATACGATGTCGACCTATTTACTAAGTTCTAAACTTTAACCGTCGTATTAATAGCAAAGAAGGGTAATATGTTTAAATCTCTTGTGTGTTTGTCGTCACTCTGTCTGCGGGCTGATGGAGGGGGGGGGGGGTCCCTGAAGCCTGGAATTCCCCCTTCCCTTTGGTGACCCCGGGCGGCTGTGTTACATCAAATAGGTTTGTTTGTGAATTGTCCTTTGGCAATCTGGAGATTTTGCAGATAGTCGCTAACCTCCCTTTGCCCCGGAGTTTACAATTTATTTATTTTTAATGGCCTTTTACGATCTCCAGCTGATGTTTGCTGGTCCTTGTCGTAGCGGGTGATATTTATTCATTTATAAAACAATTAACGGCAAGTATTATTATTAATATCAATTTTGGAAAAGGCCTATAGATACAACACTACCACCTTAAGTCGTTATGTTAAGTGTTAATTGTTATGTTACCTAATAAATAGTGTTGCCTCCAAAGTTCCAGTGTGCGCCTGAATTTAACCCACTACACCAGTATACAGTCAACCCTTCTACCTCGTGGGGGTTAGGGGCGCAGGCCCCCCGTGATCTGGAAAAACCGCGTAAAATGTTTTGGTCCCCTTGGTGAGCGACGCGGTACAAAAAGATACGAGAAACGCGAGATACAAAGATCACTGCGAGATCACTGCGAGATATCAAGTGAGAGGCTGCCGTAAACACACTTGGCGTCCTCCAAACCAGCGCATAGAACCGCAGTTGTTTTCGCAAACTAACTTTTTAAAAAACGTAACTTTAAAAAAATTGTGTATATTTATGGTATTTACTACTATAATGAGCCAATAATGTCTGTGTGTCCCGCGCGTGTCGTCACTCCAAATGAGGCCAACACCCCTCAGTAATATTCATGAACAGGTGGAGGCCCCCACATGGACTCCCCCCACCTCATTAATAATCATGAGCGGGTGACGTCACTCCACATGCGGCACCCCTCCCCTCATTAATAACCATGAGAGGGTTATGTCACTCCACATGGGGCAACCCCACCCTCATTAATAATCATGAGCTGAACAATTTTTCTATTGAATATTTCAGATTTACTGCAATAATCACCCGTCATTGGACGGACAAACAAGCTAGTTAAAATATAAAATACATTAATATTATACAGTACTGTACATATATTTCATGCATTTATGAGTTAAGGCATTTTTTTGTGTGTCATCTGCTGGCCTTTGCGTGTTGTCTGTGGCTTTCGCAAAACTCCCAAAACTCCCAAAATATTCCCATTTCAATTCTTATGCTGACTCCGCGATCTATCGAAACCGCGATGGGGAAAGCCGCCATGCAGAAGGGTCGACTGTACTATGAATCTACCCTTCAAACACTTGTTTGAAAAATAAATTGACGGTCATGTAAAATATTAAATCCACTTTAAAATGAGTCTGAGCCACTCGCTGTGCTGTTGAGAGCCAATGACAGAGTTCATCAGCTGATGCTGCGGTATCGTGGGTACTACTCGGTGACCGTGAGAACCTCCTCCTCACCTTTCGTTTGTCGTGCTCCACCTTCAGAGTGACGAGCTCGTGCCCTCGATGATCCACAGTGACGGTGCAGTCCCTGCAGACGAGGCGTCTGTCGTTAACGCAGTAGAAGCGGTACTCGTCTCCGTGCTCCACGCACCGTCGATTCTCCAGGTTCACACCGGGCGACACCAGGACGTGGTCACGAAACTTTGCCAACTGCCGGTGGGGCGCGACGTGGGCCATACAGAACGACGTCTCACACTTGAGGCAAGTCTTCACTGCGGGCTTCCTGCAATGATCGCAGCAAACAGCAGAAGCAGCAGCATCGGCAGCCATGGGCTCAGCCACTCCCAGCTGCTCGATGAGGTTGGTGAGCGTCACGCTCTTGTTCAGCTGGGGCCTCCGAGGGAAGGTCACTCGGCACTGTGGGCAGGAGAAGGACTCGGCAGCATCCCAGGCGTCCTCCACGCACTTGAGGCAGAACGAGTGGCTGCAGCTGAGCGTGCAGGGGCAGCGGAAGGCGTCCAGGCAGATGGGGCAGGTCAACTCCCCTGGTGCCTCTCTACCACTGGGAGCTGCACTCGCCATGGCCCTGTGCCTCCACTCAGAGACGGGCACTGGCTGTAGCTCAGGAAGTCACTGGCTGTAGCTCAGGCAGTCTCTGGCTGTAGCTCAGGCAGTCTATAGCTGTTGCTCAGGCAGTAGCTGGCTGTAGCTCAGGAAGTCACTGGCTGTAGCTCAGGCAGTCTCTGGCTGTAGCTCAGGTAGTCTCTGACTGTAGCTCAGGCAGTCAATGGCTGCAGCTCAGGCAGTCTCTGACTGTTGGTCAGGCAGTCTCTGGCTGTAGCTCAGGCAGTCTCTGGCTGTAGCTCACACAATGTCTGTAACTCATGCAGTCTCTGGCGACAACTGAGACACTACACCAGGAACAAGCCACCTAAATGTGAGGCAGGTTAAAGTACAAAGTCTTTCAGTTTGAGTTGCATATCATGAGGCACACCCTGGAATGTGTTAACTTGTGACCGGGTAGAGTTGTCTCGGCGCCAGAGATGGCTAGATAAAGAGTCAGCTCACCTCATCTCAAATCACCTCATTTCAACTAACCTCTTGTCAACTCAGCTCATGTCAACACACTTCTGTGAAGGTTGGTCCATCTTGGACTAAAAGCAGGTGGCCTCCGTGGGCAACGCAGGTGTCCTCAACAGTCTCAAACAAAAAGAGCTGTTCCAGGGTTGTGGCTGGGTTTCTCGCACATTCAAAAACACTCATTTGAAGAGGAATTGGCTGAACGTCCCAAAACAATATTTCATTGAAAAGTGACTCATTGAGGCTTTACTTATTGAAGGACAATTTACACAGATTTCCCATCGCTGCAAGTGATAGATATGTTTTGAAAAGATGGCGACCTCTAGGGCAGTGGCATCGCCATCCACGAGTCGAGCGGTGGCTCAAGTGCTGCCTCGGCGAGCCTCGCTGCGTCTGTCAACAGCGGTGCTCATCTCAACAACTTGTTTTATATTTATAGCACATCTTTTCTCAATGTGCTTAACATATTTTTATTTAAAGCTTTCGTGACTGCAGGGATTCGTCTTCTTGGTTCTTTTGGTAAAGTCACGTAGAATGGAAATAAAATAATAAAAATAAAACATAATAAAATAAAATTCTCACGACAGAGCTGTCTGACAGCTCTGTTCCTTCACCTGAAGAAACGTCCTGATAATTGTATTTTATTGTTTTATTTTATTATTTTATTTCCATTCTACGTGACTTTACCTAAAGAACCAAGAAGGTGCTTAACAAAGTTAAATAAAAAGGATACATCATCATCTTCTTATATATAAAAGTCTGAGGGATTTGGCTCTCAAACGGTGGGGTTGATGTCGAAAAAATTTTGCCAGCCAGCACTCCCTAAGCCCCGCGGTGGAAGGAGGCTATTCCTTTTTCACGTCCATCACCTTTAAATTAGTTAAATGAGCCATTTAATGGAATTACGATATATTTATTTATTTACTGCGCCCCACCGGCCGTACCAACTCACGCCAATTGGGTTGGGGGGGGGGGGCGGACCCTACCAAGTGATGCGCGTTCGGACGAGCTCACTGTACTGACAGCCTTTCATGTCGACTGTATTCTGCTTTTTCAGCTGCTGACCGTATTGCCAGCTTTTTATGTCGACTGTAGCAATGCTTATGTCATTGAGTCGGTGAACTGGCAGTCTATAATCTCGACTGTAGCCTCCTTCTGAAATTACCTGTGCGTACTGCTGCTCTTTAATTTACACCTATTTCTGCTTATTTCTTCAATGCATTTCTATTGTTTGCATTGCTCAAGTCACGCTATTTACTCATACATAGTACTGCGATACTGATAGCTGTGCCATCATCGGGGCTTGCTGTGCACGTTTATGTGTGTGTGAGTCGATGTGTGTGTGTTTGAGTCCATATGTGTGTACGTGTAGGTCCATGCGGGTGTTTAAGTCCATGTGTGTGTCTGTCTTTTTCGAATAGACAACGCCCGATGTGTGTGTGTGTACGTCGAAGTGTTTGTGCGTGTGTGTCAGTCCAAGTGTGCATGTCAGTCCATTTCTGTGTGCATATCAGTCGCTGTGTGTGTGTTAGTCCATGTGTGTGCATGGCTCCATCCGAGTGTGTAAGTCAATGTGTGTTTGTGTGACTATGTGTGTGTGTGTGTGTACGTCGATGTGTATGTGTGTGTCAGTCCATATGTGTGTGTGTGTTAGTCCACATGTGTGTGTTAAGTCCATACGTGTGTGTGTGTGTGTCACTCGATGTGTGTGTGTAAGTCAATGCGTGTGTGTGAGTCGATACGTGTGTTAATCCATGTGTGTGTATCTAAAGTGGATGTCTATGCTTGTGTGAGTCCATATGTGTGTGTATGTGTAAGTCCATGTGTGTGTGTGAGTCGATATGTCTGTATCAGTCCATGGGCGTGTGTGTTAGTCGCTTTGTGTGCGTGGCTCCCTGTGAGTCAGTGTAAGTCCATTTCTTTGCGTGTCTGTAGGCCCATGTGTGCGTGTGAGTGAATGTATGTGCTTTACTGATCTGGTCAAGGCCTATCATACCATCAGTAGGCCTGGCCTCTGGGTTGTCCTTCATGCTTTCCGAGTCCCTCACCCTTTGATCACAATCCTTAAGGACCTTCATGATGGTGAGCGGCCCCGCGTCAAAAGACATGACCGTCAGTCAGAGCCATTCCCTCTACACCCTGGGGTGTGACAGGGATGTCCTCTGGCTCCCACATTATTTAACATATCTTTTAACCACGTAGTTCGTGAACCCTTCAATTGCTGTACCAGAGGAATTACCATATGGTACAGATACAATGGCAGGCTGATCGATGCCCGGGTGTGGTCAAGGGATGGCTCCCTATTGCTCAACCATGTTATGTAGTATGCCGATGCTCTGGTTATTGCTGCTCACTTAGAGGAGGAGTTGGAGGCACTGCTGCTGAACCTGGAGCTTGCCACTAAGACGTGGAGCCTTACCATCAGCCCCACCAAAACTAAGCACCTGCCTGGGTATTTTGTACCATCGGACAATCCACCCCCACAACTCACAATTGGTGTTGTGGCAGTTGTGCCGAGATTGGAGAGATTCCCATACCTGGCCAGTGTGCTCATGACCGGCTCTGGTTTAACAGCAGAGGTCCCACTCCAAATCAGTCAAGCGCCATTATCTTTTCATCGGCTGCATTACGCTGTGTGGAAGCAACCTGGTCTCTCGCTCCGCATGAAGCTCCAGGTCTTCTCGGCCATGGTAATTCCCTCCCTTCTCTACGCTTGCGAAACGTGCACCCCCCTAATGGGACATCTTCGCCAGTTAGAAACATGCTGGCCTGCTAACGATCCATCCTGGGTGTAACCATATGTGTGTGTGCGTCGAAGTCGATGTCTTTCTATGTGTGTGGGTCGATGTCTGTGTGTAAGTCCATGTGTGTGTCTGCCTGTTTCGCCCGGGCAACGCCGGGTACTTACCGCTAGTACAATATGAATGGCAGCGGCGTTTTAAAGGCTGAGGAATGGGTAACTGTGATAGGGGATACTTAGAGATTATGAACGGGTAGGGGGAGGGAAGAGGAAGAGTGTGACGGTGTGTAACCAACTCTAGCGTCACTACATGATTACCTCCACCATTGTGAACTATTTTGCAGACCGGTCGGCTCCACAATGCGGAATAAGCAGCGACACCCATGGACCAAGATTTTAAGCGATGAAGCAATTTTACTTCTGTGCTTTGGCCAGGTTACAGACAGTATGATGAGATGTGTTTAGGCCCACCAACACGGCCCCACACCCCCAGAACACACAATTCAACACAGACACACGGTTCTATCTAAACCCACTCACGCCAATGACTTTGCGTAATCCCGACACACAGACACGCACAATCTCAGTAGGGGTGGGCGTTATGCGTTTCACCATTTCACACACAGCACCAAAAACAACTCCACGGTCCACATCCACTGTAGACAATCCGCGGACATCCCTGAATAACCGTACTACAATCAATCCACGGGAGTGGGAAACCAGCACCGCGGTTTTTGGCATCAGTCCAGGAGGCCGTCAGTAGGCTGGATCTTTCTGCTTTCTCCCTTGTGATCCTCACACCAGGCATTGGGGTCTTTGCTTCCACCCCAGGGTGAGCTGCCTTGCTCGCTCAGCTCCCTGCTGCTGCTTCCCCCGCTGGTGCCGCTGCCTCTCCCGTTGGTGCTGCTTCTTTTGCTGGTGGTGCTGTAACAGTCAACCCCCTTGTATACTGGAAGGTGCCAATGGGTTTTGGCCACCCGGCCCCTAGCCACATCCAGATAATTTGAGTTTCAAATGGACCGGAATCAGTCGAGTACGACTTGTAGGATCGTCTCTCCAGCATCCCAACACAGCTTCACATACTGTTCCATCATTGAACACCACTGTGAACCACGTAATATTGTATCCGTGACAACGAGATAGGGTAATGGAGAAGAGGTCCGTCTTTACTATAGAGAAAAAAAGAGGGTAAGAAGTGAGGCTGCTTCATGTACAGGGGCAGTGTAGAGTCTATGAACAGTTTTGAGTCTATGGGCAGTGCTGAGTCTATGGGCCGTGCTGAATCTATGGGTAGTGCTGCTCAATGAACAGGGGATGTTTATCTAGAGGAGGGTCAAAATAGGAATACGGATCGATAACGGGATTGATTACAGGGAGAAAGAGGGACAGAGATACAGGGACTCAAACTACTCCATCGCAACGTGTGCTCAACTCATTTACTCACCATCTCACTCACCCACTCATCCATTCACTTCCTCATTCACTTACCCACCTTCTCACTCACCTACCATCTCACTATTTTACCCACTCGTCGTCTCTGTCACTCAATTACCCCTTTATTCACTCACCCACTCACCACCATCTCACTCACCCACCCACCCACAATCTCAGGCAATAATTCACCCACTGACTCATGAATACACCCACCATCTCAGTCATTTGCTCACTCATTCACTCACTCAGCATCTTAGTAACTTATTCACCCACTCACTCATTCACTCACCCACTCACTCATCCACTCACTCATTCACTCACCCACTCACCCACTCACTCACTCAACCACCATATCATTCACTCATGCACAATCCCACTCGCCCACATATGCATATCACAAGACGTGCCC